ACAGCAAGGCCCAGCTGGCCAGAGCCTTGGAAGGGTCACACCCCAGCCCAGCTGACCCAGAGGAGAGGATGCAGAGCCAGGGCTGGAGGCAGATTGAGGCTGGCTTTGGGGAGACACCTCTGCATGGCCCAAGCAGGGAGACACCAGGACTGGGGGACGCTGCAGCACAGGAGGGTGCAAGGAGAGGCTGGGCGGGAGGGTCAAGGCGCAGCGGTGCCCGTGCTCTGCTGGGGGGTGTCCCAGGCTGGGCTGTGCTGGCTGCCTCCTGGGTCAGGGGGTTGAAGCCCCCCCAGAGGCTCTGGCTGCTGGCTGTAGCCCAGGCTGGGGCTGCGCCAATGCTCCTGCTGGGACTCAGCCCCGCAGGGTCCTGGCTACAGGCTGTTGCCCCCCGCCCCCCCTGCTCACGCTGCCTTTTGAGGGGGTGGGGGCAGCCCGGGGTTTGCCTCCTGCTCAGCTTAGCCCTCCCTCTGCAGCGGGGGCACGACCTGGGCCTGGGCTCTTTCCAGCACCCACCAACCTACTGCTGCCAGGGGGGTGTTGGTGGCCGCAGCCCCCCTCTATCCCGGGGCAGGGGCGATGCCCGGGGGTGTCGTGCAGCTCCGAGGTCGCGCCCAGGGTTTGTCTGGGGGGGTTGGATGGCGCGGATCCTGCTTCGGGCTGGATGCAACCCCAAAGCTCCCCCCACCCCGCAGCGCTGGGGCTCTGACCCCGCTCCTCCGCTCTGCCTGGCAGCCTGGGGAGGTCAAGCTGGACCTCCCGGAGCCAGAAGGTGCCAGTCTCTTCCACAAGCGGATCCCAGCCCCATCCACCTCCTTTCCTAACCCAGCTGGGGCCGAGCTCTGGTCCTGGCCCCAGAGACGGGTCCTCTCCCCTCCTGCAGCTCCCTCCTGCGGGGCTCTTCTCCCAGCCACCAGCTCTGTCCAGGCCGCGGCCACTGCAGGGGCCTGTGTCAGGGCTGGATGTGGCCACACACACATGCACCTGGACAGACCCACAGATGGACACACAGATGGACCCACAGATGGACACACACGTGTGAACATGTGCACATGCAAACACCAGCATAGAGGAGCACATGCAAACATAGGAATGTGCGCACATGCACCTGAACACACACACACACACACACACACACACACACACACGCAGATGCACAAGTGCACGCAGGAACACATACCTGCACAAATGTATTCCTGTGCACAGAAAATCTCACATGTGTGAAAGCACACACATGCACACAAAGGCATTCACATGCCAGCACACAACCACTCATGCACAAGTGCACATGTGAACACCCACACATGCCCAGGCACACATGCACCTGTGAACAGGCGCGTGCACACTAGTGCCTTCCCAGGCACAATTGCACATACACGTTTGAATGCACGTGTGCACACCAATACATTCACACGCACATACATATGCATCACACACATACTTGTGCATGCACATGCAAGTAGAGGCTCCCCCACTCACCCGTGTCAGGGCCAGGTACATCTCCAGCTCGGCGATGCGGCGGCCAACACAGGCGCGGACGCCATAGCCGAAGGGGATGGAGCTGAAGGGGTGGTGGGGGGTGGCCCCGGCCCGGAGCCAGCGCTGGGGCAGGAAGCGCTCTGGCTCTGGAAAGCTGTGCTCATCATGAGCCATTGCGTAGTGCGCCAGGACGAACAGCGTCTGCAGGGCAGCAGGGCACCGTGACATCGGGAAAACTCCCAGCCCTCGATGCCCCTCACTCCTGACCCACAGCCCCTGCTCATGCGCCTCGCTCCTGACCCACAGCCCCTTCTACCCCGGTCCTTCCTCCTCCACCCCCAGGTTCAGCCCTGGCCCGTCCAAGCTGGGACACGCTACGGTGCCAAACAGGCGTCATCTCCATGCACAGTCCTCCCTCCCCCTCCCTGTTTCAAGGCCCAGCCCACACTCACGTCCTTGGGGAAGAGATAGTCCCCCACCACGACATCCTTCTCCACAATGATCCGTGCATTGGTGGGCACGACGGGGTACAGCCTGTGGGAATGGGGGTGTTAACGTGGCAGGGGGAGCCCAGAACACCCCAACCCGAGCATCCCTGGGCATGTTCCTACCTGCCTCTTCTTCCCCTGCCCCTTATCTGCCAGTTATCTTGGGGGTGTCATGATGCAATTGTGGCCCCTGCCACGATTCCAGCTCCACCCAAAGTTTAACCCCAGCTGCTGGCAGAGGCAGCCACATTTCTATCCAGGCAGCAGCAAGGGCCTCACCCAGCCTCACGGCTCACTGCTAACCAGTCTCCACTCCCAGGTGTGAACGCCCCTCTCTCCTTGTTCAAGCTCTTTGTGTTCTCTTGCCCAAACCAGCCTTTCCTCTGCTGGCTGCCACCTCCCAGCCCGGTCCACCGGCTCTAGCTAGAAACGTTCACTCAGGTGTGATATAACAAGTTGGCAACCCTGGGCCAGTCAGTCGTTGGCCTGCCCACTTGTCTCCGGGCTAACCGCCCGCCTTCCTCGCCTGCCATGCCTTTGATGATACCGATTAAGATGTCAATCAGGCGGGAGGCTGCCCATTTACTTGCCCTCATGCCAAGGGTCTATACACGGCTCCGAACCTTCCCTTATACCATGTCCCATACCTCGCAGATGGCATCCATGGCCTAACACCTGGCCCAAGTTTGTTCAGGCCTCCAGCTCAGCATGGCCTGACACCCCGCTATAGCCTGTCCAGCCTGAAACCCGGCCTTAACTTGTTTGACCTAACACCTGGCTCATGAGCCTGTGCCCTCGCACTGGGACCCATGCTCCAGAGTCTCACATGGGACTCCCACTCCTCACTGGAGCTTGCAATCCCTATGCCCTCACACTGGGCTCTTGATCACACCATTCAGGGCTCCCAGCCCCACTTGGGACCCTCGTGGTCTTTTCATGCTCACACTGGGGCCTCACACCCAGCTCTCTTATTGAAACCTCAGAGCTCACAGGGAGCCTGGTCCCCTGCTGGGACCTGAGCTGTGGGGGCCGGGGTTACAAGGTGCCCGGTACTTGCTTTTCACTGGGAAGACGACTGGCCTGGCATTTCCAGGGACCACCCCACCATGGGCAGCCCCACCAGACTATCCTACCCCAGCAGGGTGTAGTTGTATGTCATGCCCCAGGACAGGGCAACTTCTACCATCCCCATAGTCCCCCCCAGACCTCCAAGGGTGTTCATAAGCAGCAGCTTCAGCCGGGTGGCGTCCTCCCGGTTGCTGGCAGCAGGATGCCGGCTGCACTGCTCAGGGCCCTGCTCTTATAGGAAACAGTTGGGCCCTGTTTCCAGTCAGGCGGTCCTGCCTAATTGGGATTGCAGCTGCAGGCTGCTTTGCTGCTGCCTGTGCCCCCGTGAGTAACAGAGCGCACCCCCAGCTCTGTTACACGTGGGCCTGCGAACCTGGGGGCAGACACAACCCACAGTGAAGTGCTGCAGGTGCCGTCAGGGCACGTATGAAGGCGACGTGTGTTATGAACTAAAGAAGAGACGTCCATTTGCCTCTAATGACTGCGGGACTCGGGCCACCAGCTATCTCGACTCTTTTTGGCCTGGTGTGTTGGGGTTTTTTAAACGTTATGTATAATCTAGCAAATCATATACTTAGCAATAATATAGAGCAAAATATATATGACATAACAAATGTAATCCTGCAATTATGCATATGATCTAACATATATAATCTAGCAAATAACATATAGCAGTAAAATATAGTTATATACATGGTATGCTATTGCTATATGTTATTTGCTAGATTATATATGGCATACCATATGTATAGCTATGTGTCATATATAATCTAGCAAATAATATATATAGTAATATACATACTATGCTATATATAATGTAACAAAGAATATATACAGCAATATATTTAATATAAGTAATCCAGCAAGTGATACATAGCTATACATATATATGCATACTAGAATATATAATCTAGAAAATAAGATATATAGCAATTATATAAGGCAATATATATATATAGGCTATGATATATATCATCTAGCAAATAAAATAGATGGGAATAATATATAGCTATATATATATATAAAATCTAGCAAATAAAATATCTAACAAGCATATTTAGCAATATACATATGCTATACTATATATAATCTAGCAAATAATACACCCAGCAGTAATATGTAGCAGTGTGTAGATCTGCTATAATGTATCTAACGTAGCAAACAGGATGTATGGCAAGAACAGAGCTGTGCGTCTCTGCTCAGAGACATGACCTAGGACATGACACGCGTGGCGATCGCACGGACGCCGTAGCGAGACGGGCGCCCGCCAGCGGGTCACTCTGCTCTGGTTTAACGCTAAGGGGGTGACCCCGGGGCCGGGCCAGGCCGGGCCGGTCACTACAGTGCCTGTTTTCCCAGGGCCTGGAGGAAGGTGCGTGGCAGGGCCGTGCCAGGCTGCTCGGGGGTGGCAGGGGCTTGACCCCCAACCCTGGTACTAGAGCCACATGGGAGATGCAGGGAGCAGCCTCTGCTTCCCCTGCCTCAGTTTCCCTCCCAGGCAGGATCACCCCCTGTGCGCTCGCGGTCCCTGGGGGTTGGACAGGTCCAGAGCATCCCAGCCCCACCTGAGCGTCTCCTTGACGATGGCCTTGAGCAGCGGCATCTGCGCCAGGTGGGGGGCATCGGGGACCTGTCCCCCGCCGACGCCGGTGACCTCGCGGGGAAGGGCGGCCCGGGCCTGCGGGGG